CCATTTTTATTTACTCTGCATATTACTTTGACCTAGGTCAAACTTTATAAATCTTGACCAAATTTATCAAAAACAATTAATCTAAGATTTCACAATAAAAATATATACATAGTATGAAAATATAGTGAATGATGATTCCAATGATATTTACTTAGTATTGTGGGCTAATTGTTTTTGTGTCAACTTGGTCAAAGTTTAGAAAGTTTGACCCGAGACAAACAAAAAAGTGCAACGTAAATAATAATGCAGAGAGTATGCTACAGTCAACGATGGAAAACTTCAGCATGCCCAAGGCCAACGCCTTGCCTGCCTGGGGCTTGTCGTGGCTTCAACGGCGACGACTCGCCGGTCTACATATGGAGGCCTCGAGCTGGTGGCGACGGTCCTTTCCTCGGGTTGGGTCGGCGACCTTGGTGCCTCGTGTGGCACCGATGAGGACCCGAGCGAAGGCTCGTGCTCCAGCGCCAGTGACTCATGCGGGGTGCTGTTGTGGGTTCCCTCCCCATGCCAGAGCTCCGGTTGGAAACCCTAGTCTGTCTTATTGGGCTCAATGGTGGCGGCATAATTCATCGATACAACCTAGGTACCTTTCAGTTCCAGCTCGTCAGTGTCTTCATGCATGCTTTATTCCTTGAGAGAAGACAAAAAGAAAGTGGTTCGGGATGGGCCAAAGTTGAAGTGGCGGACATGTTCGGACTAACCTATTTCTTTCCAACATATGAACCAGGTTTGGCATGTTTGGAATGTCTTGGTATATGACTAGGTTTGCGGAGGTCCATTGGAGTGGCGTTTTTGTGTCTGAACATATGAAGATTTGAGGATTGCTTTGAAGATGTTCTTAGGGATTTACTTAGGGGGTGAATTTACCATACCTCCACATTGGGAACATACCCAGGCTCAATGTCGTTGTCTACCTGATTGTCGGCGAGCTCCCACCTTGGTCAGAGCCGCTGCAATGGCATGAAACGACGATCTTCTCTGAAAAAGATGACCTAGTGAATAAGTTGGGCCAGCAGGCTGCTCTCTAGCCATTTGGGCCTTAGTCCTTAGCAGCGCGCATTCTAGCGAGCCACAAGCCCAAATGTCTTTTTGATGAGCCCCAACAAATTCAGAAAAAAATGTTGCATGACTGGCTCATGTAATTTACACAGTGCTTCATTGCCTCCAACCTGTTTATATTTCAACCTAATTAAATGAATGCAATTTACTAATTTATTTTTTAGTTAGAGATTCACCATGGGGTGTCATATGTGTGTCTGGTTGAATATGTCATCAAGACAGATAGATTTTTGTGGTATATGATACATATTTTATTCGTCGAGCTAAGGATCTAGAAATATAAATATGTGAGATCTTATACATTTGCATGGAGAGAGGTTTTCTTTTTGCAGGAACATTGAGAGAGTATTTATTAGTGTATCTCATGTTTTTGCACATTGATGATGCTTGAATTATAACAGCTTTTACAAAAAGAGTGATCATACCATCAGCCTTGACATCGATTTATGCACACAATAAACAGTAATTATGGTAGCCTTTACAAGGGTCAATATGTCATAAAGTGATACAAAAAGGGCCACAATGGTCAACTGAAGAGAATGACAACCGACAAGAAACAAGAAAAATGTTGCCCCATACGTCACAAAACCAAAACAAAATTTACATGGATAAGGTTCTAGATGACCCAATATTGGTGCTTATATTTACATTGCATTTATATGTGATACTCGTGGTTATTGGTAGATCAAGCACTAAAATGAAGCACTTTAGCTTTTGTTGGGCCCAGGCTTCAACAAATTGCTAGATCCGCCACTGGCCTTACATAGGGAAGGGAATACACCTATCCTTGAAGGAAATATGCCCTAGAGGCAATAATAAAGTTATTATTTATTTCCTTAATTCATGATAAATGTTTATTATTCATGCTAGAACTGTATTAACCGGAAACTTGATACATGCGTGGATACATAGACAAAACATATAGTCCCTAGTATGCCTCTACTTGACTAGCTCGTTAATCAAAGATGGTTATGTTTCCTAACCATAGACATGTGTTGTCATTTGATGAACGAGATAACATCATTAGGACAATGATGTGATGGACATGACCCATCCGTTAGCTTAGCATTATGATCGTGTCAGTTTCATTGCTACTGCTTTCTTCATGACTTATACAAGTTCCTCAGACTATGAGATTATGCAACTCCCGTATACCGGAGGAACACTTTGTATGCTACCAAGCATCACAATGTAAATGGGTGATTATAAAGGTGCTCTATAGGTGTCTCCGAAGGTGTTTGTTGGGTTGGCATAGATCGAGATTAGGATTTGTCACTCCGTGTTTCGGAGAGGTATCTCTGGGCCCTCTCGGTAATACTCATCACTATAAGCCTTGCAAGCATTGTAACTAATGAGTTAGTTGTGGGATAAGGTACTACAGAACGAGTAAATAGACTTGCCGTTAACGATATTGAACTAGGTATGATGATACCGACGATCGAATCTCGGGCAAGTAACATACCGATGACAAAGGGAACAACGTATGTTGTTATGCGGTTTGACCAATAAAGACCTTCGTAGAATATGTAGGAACCAATATGAGCATCCAGGTTCCGCTAGTGGTTATTGACCGGAGACGTGTCTCGGTCATGTCTACATAGTTCTCGAACCCGTAGGGTCCGCACGCTTAACGTTCGATGACGATTAGTATTATGAGCTTATGTGATATGATGTACCGAAGGTTGTCCGGAGTTCTGGATGTGATCACGGACATAACGAGGAGTCTCGAAATGGTCGAGACATAAAGATTGATATATTGGACGGCTATGTTCGGACACCGGAAGTGTTTCGGAGAAGTTTCGAATAAAACCGGAGTGCCGGAGAGTTATCGGAACCCCCGGGCTAACAGGGAAAGCCGCGCGCCCCCTCCCCATTGAGTCCGAATAGGACAAGGAGGGGGGGCTTTCCTTTCCCCTCTCCCTCTCCTTCCTCCCCCCCTTTCTCTTTAGGTGGAAACCTACTAGGACTTGGAGTCCTAGTAGGATTCCCCTCTTGGGGCCCGCCAAGGAGGGCCGGCCGGCCTCCCCTCTCCTCCTTTATATACGGGGGAGGGGGGCACCCCATAGACACACAAGTTGATCTTTTAGCCGTGTGCGGTGCCCCCCTCTAAAGATTTCCACCTCGATCATATCGTCGTAGTGCTTAGGCGAAGCCCTGCGCCGGTAAATTTATCATCACCGTCACCACGCCGTCGTGCTGATGAAACTCTTCCTTGACCTCAGCTGGATCTAGAGTTCGTGGGACGTCACCGAGTTGAACGTGTGCAGATCGCGGAGGTGCCGTACCTTCGGTGCTAGGATCGGTCGGATCGTGAAGACGTACGACTACATCAACCGCGTTGTCATAACGCTTCCGCTTTCGGTCTACGAGGGTACATAGACAACACTCTCCCCTCTCGTTGATATGCATCATCTAGATAGATCTTGCGTGATCGTAGGATTTTTTTTGAAATTACCGCGTTTCCCAACAATCCTTACTAAAAAAAACTATCCTTACTCTGAGGTTACTGAATTTGGTACAAGAAACTATTGTATGGAGTACTAATAAGGAGGGCTACCATGAAGAATTAAATAAAACTCTTCATGGACAATTTCGTTAATACGGATGAGATAGCACATATAGAGAAAATCAAGACTGAGATGGAGAATAGTTGGAAATTACAATCTTCAAGCAGATATCTAGGGATGTAAGTATCAAAAAATGACAGAAACACTGTTTATCTCCATGCTAAGGCTAACAAGAGACATACAAAACATATACCCCTTCGCTCCTACCCTCTGTGAACTCTCATCTAGGATTTCCCTGCCACTCACCGGCGCCACCGCCGGTCCGCCTCATCTTCTATGGTCCTTGAACCATGGAAGCGTGGTGGATACCAGCCTTTGCCGGCGGGAGAGCCCCATTTTTAGGTGTTTCTCGGAGTTTTCTTAGGGTTTGTGCCATGCTCAAGAAGACGAGGCGGCAGCGGTTTCTTGAAGATGGAATAAGGTTCTCCCCCACCTACATCGTCGGAGGGCATGTGGAGGTGTGTCTTCGGCGGATCTCCTGGAATCTAGTCGGTGTTTGTCTTCGGTGGATCCACCTGGATCTGGTCTTTGTTCGTCTACGTCTCTGTGTCTGCGGGTTGGGTCCATCCGATCTATGCTTCTCTTCATCGGCAGCGGTTGCTGTTCTGGTGCGCTGGCCCTATGTGGCCTTAGCACGATGACTTTCTGACTGTCTACTACAACAATGTCTGCTCGGCTCCGACGCGGGAAGGGCGCTGATGGGGTGCGCCTTCGGCATGCTCCAGTGCTTTTACTCATCACTAGGTGGTCTACCGACCTGGATGTAAATTTTACTTCTAGTGTTCTTTGTACTACCCACACGGTTGATGAATAAATGAGAAGTTTTCTCGCAAAAAAAGAGGCATAGAAAACATGTGTCTTTCCAAGGCTTCGACGGTCCACTTTTTACTGCCAAAGTGTTCATATGGGTTGCCTCTAATTTTTATAAATATCCTTTGGGTTTCAAACGAAGCCTAATATTTGTTTGAAGAATGCTTTTGGTCAAATGACGAAATGGTTTCAGTTTCCGGAGATGATTGTTTGCAAATATCTTTCTATGAGGAAGAAACTATCTATGGGCTCGTGTACACACGGTGCTCTTGCTCTTGATGTCGCGTCCTCTCTTCTACCAAGTCATTTGGTCGAGTCCTCTTCAAAGATGATTATCATGGCTTTGGTGGGGGATCGAGAGTGCCACATCAGATTTTTTTTTCAACTGAATTTTGTAATCATCACACTCATTCCGAAAGAAAACTATGCTATGAAGATGTTCAGGGCACATTAGTTTAGGAACTTCTTATCTGAAGATTTTTTACCAAACCTATGATTAATAAGATTGCACCTATTGATTGTAGGTGCTTTTGTTTTCCAACCAAACTATGTTTGTTAGGGGTAGATTCATTTCAACAAGTGCCATTTTTTATTGTTGCAAAATAACAAGTGTCGTTTCCGCCTATGAGCTTCCCACGAAGTGCACAAAACTGATTCTAGCGGTCTGATCCTTAACCGACTATGAAAAGGCTTACAACATACTATTATGGAAATGTCGCTTCCCGTTGATCTAAAACTTATTTCTGAATATTTCAGATAACTTCTGTGTTAGAATTAGACAAGGGGACAATGTCCCCCTCTTTTTTAATTTACTAGCTAGTGTGTTTGCTGAAATATAGGGAAAATGCTGCAATCACAATATCATTAGAGGCATTCTACCACATATAATCCTATTGGTTTTGTCATCACTCAATTTTTCTTGAAAAAAATCGATGATTACCGTTGTTGATCATATACGGAGACTCAAAGAAGACAACCAATAATAATAATACATATGTGGAACAGAACACCCTACAATATAATCCTCTCGGTCCTCACCAATCACCAATGCCCAATGCTAAACCAAATAATACCGGGAAAGAAATACATTTTGGAACTACCATCCAGCTAGCGCCCCAGACGCTCACAGAGAGGACACGGCGTAGACCGCAGCAGCCGCGAGGGCGAGCACCAGCCCAGCCGGGCCCTGGAGTGACGAGCCGCCGTTCTCCTGCAGGTACGCCGACGGGGTCGTCTTGGATCCAGACCCTGCCGGTGTCTGCACCTCGGGCGTGGTCGGCGTGGCGGCGCCAGGAGCAGTGCCACCGCCGTTGCACTTGCTCGCCGGCGGGGTCTTCACGTTGCACGCCTTGGGAAGCTCGAGCGCGCGCGTCTTGTTGATGGTCATGCCGCCGAGGGACGACGAGTCGCCGCCGAGCGCGCTGCAGAGGCACTGCGGCTGGGACTGCACGACGGAGCTCAGCTGCGAGCAGCAGGACTTGGTGGGCGCCGTCTCGTTGCCGCTGATGTAGTTCAAGCACGGGTACAGGCCGACGAGAGCTGCCGTGCACCCGGACTGCGCCGATGCCGACGCCACCAGCAGCACCGCCACAGCCGCGACCAGCAGGATACTGCTGCTGCTTGACATGGTTCTCGCCGCCATTCGATGAATCTTCTCCTTGGACTGCTAGTGGAAGACAGATGCTTTTTCTTGGCTGGAGGCTTTGGAGCTAGATGCTGTTTGTGCTTTTGGCATTCGAATTGGTGTGTTCTTATAGGAGTGGTTATTGTTGGGGAAGGTGGATTTAGTTGGGTTTGTTGTTGAGCTACTTCCTACTCTTGCAACGAAATGATTTCTTTCTCTGAGTTACTGCAGTTGTCGTGCACTACTTGAGAAAAGTATTTGATATGTGGCTGCTAAAATAGTTATGTTCAGAAAGAAAGTTGGACCAGGTCGGTGCTGGTCCATGCCGTGTTACACGAAGCTAACAAAGGTAGTGAGTGTCGCGGTGCGGTTTTTGTTGGCTATCTCTTGTATTTACCTTCCTGTTAGGAAGTGTTCTAGTAACTTTTTTTTCTCCAGTAACTTGCTTTGTTATCCTGGCATGCAACCAATTGATCTGATGTTTGCTCACTTGACAAATGCAACCAATGGCGCGAGGAAAAAGTTTTTTGAACTCGACCGAGAGCACAAATCACTTCTATCAAAATATAGAGGATCTCACTTCAATAGAATTGAGGTTATTCATATCAATAGAACGGTAGAAAAAATGATGACATTGTGTATCAACTTAAGGTGACTTATGAGACCGCTTATGCAGAATTTAAGCTTGGTTTTGTTTCGGAACTTCATGATGTCATGGAACTATCTAGTTACCCTACACTTATAGAGGTTGTGATATTTATCTTGCTACTAATAAACATGGAGCATCCTTGACATGATAAAAAAAAACATGCTCCTTCGAGCATCTCTAGGAACCTACTTCTTGGTTTTAAGAAATTGTCTACAAAACCCAACTTTCTGCTCCGAAAGAGTATACTCCCTCCGTCCCAAAATTCTTGTCTTAGATTTGTTTAAATACGGATGTATCTAGTTATGTTTTACTATTAGATACATTCGTATCTAGACAAATCTAAGACAAGAATTTTGGGACGGAGGGAGTACTTTTTAGGGACTCGTCATATGTTCTAAAAACAGCATATTAAGTTTCTTCTTTAAGGGTAATACAAATTTCATTAATTCATTCAATCTTAGGAAACTTATTTTGCAAAAATTCCAATATTATATGCTTACTCTTCATAATTATGAAATTGCGCAATTTCTATATAAATTGTGTGCAACCTTTTCATTATTTGCTTTGATATTTTCCATTCTCTTTCTTCTTCAAGGGTAATACCAATGCCACTGATTCATTCTTTCTTAGAAAACTTCTTTCTTTTGATATAATTTTTCTTTTCTTTTCTTTTCCTTAAAGGGTAATACCAATGTCACTAATTCATTCTTACTTTAAAAAACTTCATTATTTTGTTTTTCTGTTCATTCCATTTCTTCTTTAAGGCTAATATCAATGCTACTAATTCATTAATTCTCGGGAAACTTGTTTTTTGCGTAATTCCACTATTATATTTTCCTATAGATTATAAAAAGTATTATTTTTTGTGTAAATGTGTGCGCAATTTTTTTCATTATTTTTTTAATTATTTTTGTTTCTTTCTTCTAAACGGCAATACTCTTTAGAAATCTTGATTGTTTTTATTTCTTATTTAAGGGTACTCTGTCCTTTCTTTTTAGTCCGCATATACGATTTTTCTCAAGTCAAACATAGTAATTGAATTAACTTTCTCAAGAAAAAGTATCAACATTCACTATATAAAATTGTTATCATTAGATGCATAATTGAATTAACTTTCAGATTGTATATCTCTAGTATTATACTACTACTACTACAACAACAACAACAACAACAACAACAACAACAACAACAACAACAACAACAACAACAACAACAACAAAGCCTTTAGTCCCAAACAAATTGGGGTAGGCTAGAGGTGAAACCCATAAGATGTTATAGATATTTACAATTTTGTATATAAATTTGGTTATACTTTATGAAGCTTGACTTAAGACAAATCTTATATGCGAAGTAAGAAGAAACAGAGGGAGTAGTACCAATGACACTAATTCATTCATTCACATGAAACTTCTTTTCTGCGAAAAATCTACTATTATATGATTATTATTGCATATTATTAAAAACACAATTTATATGTAGATTTTATCATTATTTGTTTGATTTTTTCATTTTCTTTCTTCTTAAAGGGTCACACCAATGGCACTAATTCATTCTTCCACTATTATATGTTAGTTTTCTTTCTTCTTAAAGTGTAATATAAATGCCACTAATTCATTCTTCCTTAGCAAACTTTGTTATTTTCTTTGATGTTGCAATAGTATTGTAGTACTTGATTTTGTGTTTCAAATTTAAAATTGAATTGTTTTATGTTGAGGTGGGGGCTGGCAATCACAAACGTGGTGGTGAAGGAGGATGACAAGGATGGTGAGTTAGAAAATGAAAGTCGTAATTGATGCTCGGTGCAACATCTTGACAAGAATGTGTACTGTACGAGTGTTTTTTGTGCTAGATCGTGGTTATTTTGGTGTACAATGTCATTCAATTGCAATATGTGCCAAAAGCTTGAGAGACTATACAATTTTAGATATAATTGCTAGCACATCTGTGATTCTATAGAGTAAGTTGTGCTTTATTCATGCCGCTGACCGCTTACCGAAATACACACCGAGCCGTTGTAGGCACGCATCACTATCCATGGTAGAGTGTTAGCCTGTTGTAGAGAAAAAAATCTAGGCAGCCAATAATTCAATATATTTTTGGACCACATAAGTACATTTGCAGCTTCCCACAATACGATGAGAAATGAGAACTCCGTCTCTAGCTAGCGAGCCAAGAGAGTTGTTGCATATTCTTGATCCCATAAAAGGTACCCGGATTTGACCAATCACTACACTCACATGCAAAGATCATAATGTGGTGTTGTTGTTCTTGCGTAGATTTGACTTCGTTCCGTCGGCCTCATACCATAGCATGGTTGCTGGAAGGGAGGCATTGATGGGAGCTTTTTAGGGGTGCATGCACATGGTTATCAAAGAAAAATGTGATTAACCAAAAATCTAAATTCATTCACTTGACCCCTAGGTGACCCCATAATTTTTAAGGTCTCCTCCTATATTCTCAAAAATCATCTCAAAATACATGGTAAGCAGCCCCACACCCCTTATCCAAAGTTCTTTTCATGGAATTGTCCCAATTAATTTTGGTGGTCTAAACATTCAGATCCACCACTCACCGTATACCTTATAGCCGCTAGCTAGTTTGCCACCACTACGACACCATGAACCTTGTCGCCACTGGAATGGACGCCGCCAACTCCCATTGCCAAATCCCCACGTGTTCTAACGTGCTTTGAAAGCACTACGCCGGCCCAACCCACCAATTATTGCACACAGTCCCGGGCAAGGTGGAGACGTAGGAGTAGGAAATTGCCCCTGTCAAGATGGACATCTCATCGTTGCCCTATATTGACTACGCAAGTTGGATGTAAGTAGTCCTCTAGACATGTACTTAGAGAAAATCCAACAAAGCCACTAAATATTAGGTTCAAATTAATTTCAAGATGAAATTTTGATCAAAGCTCAATTAATGTTGATCAAAATGATTCTACTTTTTCCAAAAACAAATCATAATTTTTGTGGATACCGAAATATTTTGTACCTAGAATAGTCAAGTTAGGTCCAAACTAAAATGAAATCAAGCTATTGTCGTAATGCTAACTAGTGAAGGGTAGAGAATGAGATTCAAGAACAAACCACATGTCGACATCCAATTCTACTCTACATATCTCGGTTAGGATACCAGTTAGAATAGTACAAAATTGTAGAAGCCTCTTTAAATAAATATATTTATAGGTATTACATACAAGCAAACCTATATCAATGAATTACGGTACACATAAGTGGCACACATTATTTGTAGTTGAATGTCATTTTTTTAACTTTAAGATATTATCTCCATTTAAACAAAGTTTAGGCAGTGAAAAGTTAAAACTTTTAAATATACTATAATGCCATAATAGTGTTCTACTATAGCACTACACTATACGGTTTATGTTCTTAAATACAATAAGAAATGCAATTAAAATTATTTGATAAATGATGCGTAAGTAAAAATGTATTTAAGGTTTACCAACAAAATGAGTTGTGGAAAACTAAACATGTTTAGTATAAATTGTGTGTTTGGTGACACAAATGTTTAGTCAAAACATCATGAGATATTCATTGGGAAAAACTCAAGTTGCAGGCATGACGGGATGCGGCTGCCCGCCAAACACCAAAGCAAGAGTCAACATTTTCAACGGCCACCGTGGCTGCCCGCCACACATCTCTTGATTTTTCATGGACAACGCGGTAACCCGCATGACCCCGCGACACACTCGCAAAGAAAATGGATGCTTATAAATATAATCAGCCCAAACAAACTACACGGACAACCATTCATGAACAGAAAATCCAGCAACTAGAATTTAGGTATAGTCTAATACATTCAGCTAAATCAGACTTTTCATGAACAAAAAGAAAGCAACCCCAATTCAACTACAGAAAGACACAATGTACAAATAAATAAAGACACAAGATTACTTGTTAAGCCACAAATCTTCAACCATTCTTATTTAGTAAACTCAACATGATTTTTGCACAAATCTAAAACATGATGCCACTCGCATTCAATAAATATAATTAGGTTAGTCGATATCTCCTGTCAATTGTGTAAGTTACTTTGTTATTTTTCTTAGTCGTCTCATCATCCATGTTGATAATTTAGTCTCCCCAATACTTGTATCTGAATCATGTGTGCATGAATATTAAAAAAATATGGTTGCAAATTCAACGATTGAATCAATAACAAGTGAAAAATGAATATGTTCTTGTGGAACCGGCTACCTTTTCATCCTCTTTTAGGCCCCTCTCAATTTTCTCCACATCAATGCCTAGCACTAACAACTCAACAAATCATTCCCACCTCACTTTCAATGCCAAATCATCTTATTCCATAGAATGGTGGAATAATGTCTATTTTTAAAGTCTCG